ATGTACTGAGAGTATTGGCTGATAACCTTGAGACGGAAAGACGGAAGAAGAGGAACAAATCGAACAGTCTTCTATTCGGTTTGTCAGGCAGGGTGAAAGAGAGAAAAGGACAAGCAACTCTTCTATCTTGGACAGGGCTCAGTCATGGGAGATGAAGGTGGAATTGGACAGGATGCTTGTCTTCCCGGATACCGTGTAGACAACGCTGAGGCCTGATATCGTGATGTCATCGCAACAGTCCAAACTCCTCATCGCAATAGAGCTAACGGTACCATGGGAAGACACCGATGAAAGGAAGCAATCCACGTATGACGAGCTGATTGCAAAGTGCAGAGAGAGGAGATGGGCAGTATGGCTATTGCCAGTAGAGGTGGGCTGCAGAGGTTTTCCCGCCCAATGCTTATGGAGGATAGTGCAGACACAAGGTATCACAGGAAGAGCTCGTAGCTATCACACGTATTTGACAGAAACTGCAGAGAAAGTATCGTGTTATTTCGTCCTTCGAGGACTCGTCAGTAATAAAGCTTGAAGCTCAGAGGCGATTGAGGAAATTCAAAATGGTGGAAAGAATTGTAAAAATCTGGATACTGACCCCATAATTCGATAACTTCCGTTATTTTCATATATCCGATAATTTGAAAACAACGTCAAGTACACGTGTACATTCTGAACCGTGCCACGAATCAATTTATCAAAATGTGGCATGTAAGTTACGGAAAACCTCGGGAACTTATAATCCACCAGAGGTGTTTACCACTTGCTATCTTAAAGACGGTATAAAAGACATACAAGTAAAAAAGCGACTCCTATTTCTTCAAATTTCACTGCAAAACTTTTTGTTGAAGCCATTCGAGCATGTGAATAAAATTCACATATATAATTGAAAAGCTGAAAAACTTTGGCATCTCAAAGAAAAAATCTGCTCTGGTTTGGTAGCTATGTTTCTGATAGCGAGCAGATTTTCTAAGGTGCACATTATAAAGTCTTTAAGTGCTTATGCACCTCAGTTCTAAAGACTTTGTTTTCTTAACGTACATAAATTATAATCTGTGTGAACTCTTTTCTCTGCTAGACTTTGTGGTGACGATACATCGTGTTCTTACTCCTCCCGTGACTTAAATATCAATAGAAACAACATCTGATCTGATGAACCTTGAACTTTGATCCAATTAAATGTTGATGTAAAACTGACCCCATTATCATCTAAAATCTACAGCTACCGTTTGTCTCGTCTTTTAGTTTCGATGGTATACCAACCAAAATAACCAACAAACACAAACACTTAGGAATATTTATTATGGAATTAACATGTAAAACACATAATTAGTAAAATAACAAAATAAATTGCTTGTTTATTATATATTTGAGGTATGTGCCATTTACGGTGTAACTCGGTAACACTAGAGATAATTCAATTACAAGCTGCTAGAATTATAACTGCATTGTCCATCTGTTTTTAGTTTTAATAACTGGAAAATGAATGAAATGATGCTCGGAACATATTCTATTCTATTGTTAACTATATGGCATGATAGTTTCATAACGTTAGCAGATCATATTGAAAATATACTGTCACATAATTAACGAGTAGCTCACCTGCTGAGGTAACAACACTTTCAATTACATCGATGAAAACACATCTTCTATTTTTCTTCCTTCTTTAACGAATATTTAGAATGGAACAATCTAAATGATAAATTAGACATCCACTCTCATAAAAGTAATTCAATTTAAATATGAAAAGGCTATGTTGATGAACTGTAACCTAAACAACCAAACAAGACGTTTGTTAATTATAGATATAAAAAATTAAATAGTCTTCACTCTCTTCAAAGAAATCGAGCAAGCCAACTTAACTATTTATAGACAACAGTCAGCTGAGTAATGATGTGGGCATCCGGTACAAAATCAAAATTAAAAATCCATTGATCCTCTATTTCTTTAAATAACCCCCCCCCTCTCTAAGAATGCATTCAACCTCTCTCTCTCTCTCTCTCTCTCTCTCTCTCTCTCTCTCTCTCTCTCTCTCTCTCTCTCTCTCTCTCTCTCTCTCTCTCTCTCCCCTTGTTCTTCTCTCTCTCTCTCTTTCCGATTTAATCGATTGTATTGATGTAATTTGAAGAGAAACACTGCAATATGTTGTGAAAATTTGTGTGCAGTGATTTTGCAAATATATCTATTTGCAATAAAATATGTTTAAATCGTTATAATGTTTTGTTCTGAGCTGGCTCTATACAAACTTTCTTCCACTGTCCGAGAAATATACGTGCGTAAGCCGAAAATAAATATCTGTCAGGATCGCCAGTTTCTCGAGGTACGTGTAATATTAAATATGTCTATATAAACCAATCTGAATGACATAACCCAGGCTTTCATACAAAGTGACCCTAGACCATACAACATATCGACAGGATGCAATTTACACCAATTTATCAAGAGTTAAATTAACGGATTAAAACTCAGCAGACCGTAACGGACATAGCACGGCCGCATTCATGAAAATCCGATTATAGGTCTCAGAAGAACACTAGTTCAGTTGGGAGCTTTGTCCAGGTGACAAATCAGGCTAGCCAGGAAAAAAATCACACATGGCTTCTTTGTGAAGACGTGTGTTAATCTCGCTTTTGTGTTATATATAAATATGTAATTGGGATTTTTTATGACGGTGTTTCAAATCTATTCATTTCAAAATACACTAGTTTAAGAATACCAACGAAATCAAACAGTGAAGCAACATCGCTTATTACGTTTTGTAAATTGTGGAATTAAATTTTTACCTCCACATCTGTTTCACTAATTGTTTCTTATTACTTTTACATGATATCATTGCTTATCATTGATCGGTAACGCATGTTGAACGTGTGTAACGGATCCGCTACACAAGAACCCATTAGCTTCAAACTCTCACCATATTTCTTTTTTTTTTCGAAACCATTGCTACGTAAACTGTTATTTTAAACATGAATAACTCTTGATAGTTTGGTTTTATTCGTTGCATTGAAATTTAATTGAAACAGCACTCTACACCCACATAGACAAATTTATGAAACCAATATGAGAAAAACACCAAAGGAGGACGGTGGGTGTGTCTTTGTCTGAAAAGGCACTTTCTCCAAATTTGCAAACTGCATTTAACCCGGTATATCTTGTCCATCAAAAAAACATTTGGAAAGGTTAGTTTGAATTTTAGAAATTCAGTTTCCAGGTTATCGGAATACATATGTCAATAATATATGTTTAAACATAAAAAAATCGTCCAGTGATCAAGTATTGAGAGCCCCTTCACTTCTTCGTTAGATATGAATGTGCTATAAATGATTTTTTACTCAAAACCAAATACGTAAAATAATGAAGTTATTGAAATTTTCGCGATGTTTGAATGCACGTGTTATTTGTACATTGCGATCCATATCACGTGTTCATATCACGTAATTAGACAAGTTATCACTATAATCATATCGAGAGAATTTCCAGCTAGCTATCAGTACAACTTCTGGACATCCTTTTTTGAGGATGTCTTGTTGGTGTGATGATGAGGTAGTCTGGAATTTCTTGACTAGGCGATTTGGCTCCGTAGATCATAAAATTCGAGGCTCGGACAAGGCATTGGTAAAATTAATGTCTTCCTTCGTCAATGATGTTATAATGTCCAACATGATATTTAAATATTTTAATAATCAAATCGCGTTTTGGATCAACAAGTTCCAAAACTGCCATAATAGCTACAACGTGACACTCCATGGCACGGCAGTGCCAACAGAAAATGTGTTCGAGTTGCGGGGTTTATAAAAATGGATGATTTCTCTATAAGAATTGATTGTCTATTTTATTCCTTGCATGAGCTGTTGAAGGGAAATGAACTTCATGCAAATGCTGCATAAATTGCTAGGAAGTTCACTTCATTTTCACGAGGTTCACCTATCTTTACAGACGCTATCGGTCCATGCAATACCAAAATAGATTAACAATTCTTAATTGCGAAATGGAAATATTGCCATGTTGTGTGCTGATGGAGACCATATCGTGATTCAGTGACATGATATGATACGGTGTTAACTACGCAATCTTTTGTCATTAGAGTGGTGACTTCACACTAACAGTATACACTCATGGTGAAAACACAACAAAAAAATGATCAGAAATTTGCCGTAGCCCAGATGAATAAACAGCTTCAGTTTCATTTGAAACAATCACATAGGGAGACTGGTAGAAGACTGTCTATGATTTACGAACCAATGAACATAAATTATTTAGGATATTAGCCATGAGTGTGACTGAAAGTGTTAAAATCAATACAAAGCCCTGCTGATCAACGATATCAATAGGAATACTGAAATATATTGTAACGTAACTATACACCTTCAGCTATTCTCCGTTTTCATCCTGCTTGGAGTAGAATTCACGGTATTTGAGGTAAATAAAATCTTCACAATGATAATTTGTCTGATGAAGGTGACGGTGTCGTCATCGAAACGTCACACAAAATTTGCTAAATGGTTGTGATGGAAAAACTTTATTTTTCATATAAGAACCAACATGAAAAAATGATCTACAAAACGTATGACGTATATTTTTCTCCGATTCCGACTAAGAGGCATGCACGTGGTCTGCAGTAAACGTCGAACTGTTAGATGTAAGCGGTATCTACCTATTACACCATAAATGGTCCTATCGATTGATAGGCGGCTATCTGATGGGCTTCCTCCTCAGGAACCGGTCACTTATGGGAATCTCAGCGTGTAGTGGTCAGTAATTGCTGGCCCTGTCGGTCTCAATATTCCAGCCAGCAACACATTGCGTCTGACAGCGTTAGTAAGGCATCCCTCCCCTTTTCCCAAATCTTCTTCCTTCCTCTTGTTACCGTCAGACCCTGTTATAACGACCATTATCTCCACAACTAGGTAATCGGTTCTACCGCTCAGGCCGCCATTATTTATTAACTTCTATCGCAGTCGAGTTGCTGCCTATATTGAAGACCTTCTCCTTTTATGTATTTACAGAAGATAACCGAACGGTAGACGATGTCATTGATTTGGACGATTCCAGCGTCACAGGAAATGAATCGCTTCTGGAGGCAGCAGACGGAAAAATCATCTTCGAGACATACCCCACAAAGCTTGTAGAATCATCACGTGATATTATCAGCGATGACGTCGATGGGTTTATTGGTTCCGGTTCCGGTTTTGGGGAAGAACCAAAGAATGTGACAGAAGTGGAGCCCTTTACGTCTCTGAAGACAGCAGGTCAGTGAGTTTTTGAAGTGATCTTTCGAAAATTGCTTACACTGCATTAGTCTGACGTCAAAGAAATGGGAGATAACTCTGACGACAATTACTTTAAAAGTTACAATCAACCCAAATTTCAAAACGGATATATGGAAATGGTCTACAATAATTTGATTATTCGTAACTCAATCTAAGAAAACAGCCATGCTCTGACTTTATAACAACGGTGGATAACCTTACCGGGATTTTTAAAGGAGGAATTGCATGAAGATGAATTTTTAAAGAAAAGTTTTAATTCTTCATCAATATTATCAATACTACTAACAAAAAAAATGAAATGTTTTCTTGTTGTTTCAGTATTATACATGTAACTAAGATAATCTTAAACTGTCTTGTTGAAGATTTGCTCCGGTAATTGTTCACTGTTACTTACAATGTACATACAGGCGACCAAGTGACAAACTTTGACGTTGCCGCTGCATCCGCTGAATTTTTTTTTTTTTCCTCCTCCTCAATAAAATGATGAGACATTTATTTATGGACACACACCATACTCTCATAAACTCTAAAAATATTTTTATTCAAATTTGATTAAGAATGAATCCTTTTCTCTCGTGAGACTTAAATCTATTACACTTACAATTCTTGAATTATTCATATCTTACAGAGGAGATAAATTTAGCGGTGTTGTCATGATTTCAGGCCCGTAGATTTTTAAGGAGTAACGTATGACGATAATACTTTTTATAAAATAGTAGCCAACAGGAATATTTTTAGATTTATCTTAACATTGTAGCTGTCGACCAGGAGAAAGCCTGTCTATCATTTATAAAAGAGACAGATATACGGAGACGTCTAGAAACGTATTGCTTATTGCTTTCTGTCCTACAATGTACATATATATGATTATATTTGTCTATGTCAATAAAGAATTTCACTGAAATAAAAATGATTATGAAAATATTAAATTAAAAAATAAAATTACAGAATCAACCGAGACTACACCTTCCATAACTACATCTGCTACCTCTGAGGAACACGAGGACGATGACGTAGAAGCGTCGGCCAATAGAGAGATTGTAACTGCGAGAGATGATGACGGCATCACCGAGGAACCGAGTACGTCACCATCCACAAATATTTGGCAGGGGATAAGATATTAAACAAAATTAATATATCTTTATATTATATAGACTGATTTATATATGTAGATTTAATAGCATTGAGCGAGAATATAAAAAAAATCAGCAGAATAAAAATTTGATGTTATACATAGTAGTAAACATTGAAAAATAATTATTTTAGATAATGCCAATCATTTGTACTTTCAGATGAAAATGCCAAAGTCTTTGACGACGCAGACAAAATTCCAAGTTGTACGTATGATTAACTTCCCTGTCACATCTCTTATCCTGAATATTGGCTACTTTAGTGCCATGGTCAGCTTCAATATTCCTCTACCATACAATTCTAATCTTAACGACATTACATCTGTCTAGCGAGTGAACTGTAAGTGGATGTTATCTTGTTCGAAAAAAATCAAGAAAAACGGGGAGGGGGAGAGAGTATCTGGGTATTTAGGTTCGAGGACGTGGTTTTTACTGTATTTCCTATTCTCATTTCAGTTCTCAAGCTTTGCGAGAAGAAAAACTGCAAGTATGGAGGAATATGTGTTCGAACCGGAGATGACAGTGTAGAGTGCGCATGTCCAGTACAATGCGGAAATGAGTTTGGGAATCAGTTGTGTGGCTCTGACGGGACACTCTATCCTAGCCCATGCCACATGGAACAGCAAGCATGCGAACAACAAAGAAATATCACGCGCGGTGATTACCGGGAATGTACGTATTTACATATGCTGTCGATACAGGATCGTTGTCTTTATGAGTAATTCGGGATTTGATCTTGTGGGAAGGGGAGGGGGAAACAGAATAAATATATTTAACAAAGGATTGTGGATATGGTGTGACAACCAATTAGAAATTCCTCATGATGTGTTGATTGTCACTCTACTATCGATTCTTTGGGGGTCATTTCGCACGTTTGCATGCAAAACTGTATGCTCAAAACGAATTGCTTTCCATTTACATATACGTATAATATGATAATAGATGTGGGGTTTTGGTGACACACACGCTTGTAGTCACCGAAACAACACATCCGATCTTAATGGTTGTACTGTATGGCACATATTGGCCAAAATGGACAAGAAAATGTCCATTACATTAATCACTATTCTTGATATACTTGTTTGATTGCCGTGTAGGTATATTGTTAACCATTGTATTATGGGTACTTTATTTAATCAAGAAGTGCTTTGTGAATAAGTTTTGCTTATTTAATACCTTGTATTCATTTGAACGTGCATAATGAAGACACGTGTTTGTGTCCAGTTCTAGCCACTCCCCTCTCACTCGACTGAAAGCTGTTTCATTTTAGCTTAGTCATGAGAGCGTTAGCAGAACACGTCAGTTGTTCCAAGCTTGAACCCTGACGCAAAAAAATGGTAATGGCCTTTGTTGCATTGCTGCCCTAATGGGAAAAAATAAACCATTACATGATCGTAAGAGGCGCCTAAACTTCAGATCCTCGGATCGACTCCAATTCTTAATTAATTAGTTTCTCTCACGTGCGTCATCTGACACTACATACCTCCCTTTTGTGGTGTGCTTTGGTTTTATACCTGACCGAGCGACCTAAGGTTATCAGTTTTATACCTGACCGAGCGACCTGAGGTTATTAGTTCTATACCTGTCCGAGCGACCTAAGGTTATTAGTTCTATACCTGACCGAGCGACCTGAGGTTATCAGTTCTATACCTGACCGAGCGACCTAAGGTTATCAGTTCTATACCTGACCGAGCGACCTGAGGTTATTAGTTCTATACCTGACCGAGCGACCTGAGGTTATCCGTTCTATACCTGACCGAGCGACTTAAGGTTATCGGTTCTATACCTGACCGAGCGACCTGAGGTTATCGGTTCTATACCTGACCGAGCGACCTGAGGTTATCAGTTCTATACCTGACCGAGCGACCTGAGGTTATCAGTTCTATACCTGACCGAGCGACCTGAGGTTATCAGTTCTATACCTGACCGAGCGACCTGAGGTTATCAGTTCTATACCTGACCGAGCGACCTGAGGTTATCAGTTCTATACCTGACCGAGCGACCTGATGTTATTGTTTCTACACCTGACCGAGCGATCTGAGGTTATCAGTTCTATACCTGACCGAGCGACCTGAGGTTATCAGTTCTATACCTGACCGAGCGACCTGAGGTTATTAGTTCTATACCTGACCGAGCGACCTAAGGTTATCAGTTCTATACCTGACCGAGCGACCTAAGGTTATCAGTTCTATACCTGACCGAGCGACCTGAGGTTATAAGTTCTATACCTGACCGAGTGACCTAAGGTTATCAGTTCTATACCTGACCGAGCGACCTGAGGTTATCAGTTCTATACCTGACCGAGCGACCTAAGGTTATCAGTTCTATACCTGACCGAGCGACCTGAGGTTATCAGTTCTATACCTGACCGAGCGACCTGAGGTTATCCGTTCTATACCTGACCGAGCGACCTAAGGTTATCGGTTCTATACCTGACCGAGCGACCTGAGGTTATCGGTTCTATATCTGACCGAGCGACCTGAGGTTATCAGTTCTATACCTGACCGAGCGACCTGAGGTTATCAGTTCTATACCTGACCGAGCGACCTGAGGTTATCAGTTCTATACCTGACCGAGCGACCTGAGGTTATCAGTTCTATACCTGACCGAGCGACCTGAGGTTATCAGTTCTATACCTGACCGAGCGACCTGAGGTTATCAGGTCTATACCTGACCGAGCGACTGAGGTTATTGTTTCTACACCTGACCGAGCGATCTGAGGTTATCAGTTCTATACCTGACCGAGCGACCTGAGGTTATAAGTTCTATACCTGACCGAGCGACCTAAGGTTATCAGTTCTATACCTGACCGAGCGACCTAAGGTTATCAGTTCTATACCTGACCGAGCGACCTGAGGTTATTAGTTCTATACCTGACCGAGTGACCTAAGGTTATCAGTTCTATACCTGACCGAGCGACCTGAGGTTATCAGTTCTATACCTGACCGAGCGACCTGAGGTTATCAGTTCTATACCTGACCGAGCGACCTGAGGTTATCAGTTCTATACCTGACCGAGCGACCTAAGGTTATCAGTTCTATGCCTGACCGTAATATAGGAGGTTTGGTTCTAACCTTCTATCCGAAAAGTAAACAATAAAACCGATAGTTAATATTTTTGCCGCACGTTCTGTTACAAATCCCATCACAATGTGACCGAATGGCTTTCATTCTATCCCGTCCACGCTCTGATAATTCAGTGTAACTACACTTAAACAACGCTTCTGTGACCCCATTGTGATCTCCACCTCGAAAAGCATAGCTGATAACAATTCTAGACAACGCATTCTTTCATGTAAGAAGAATGCTTTAATTCGGCTAAAGGGATACAGCGTCGGTCTAGTAAATGAGAGATCCTGGTTTAGAACATTAGAGGGAAATTTTATCAAGTATTGATATCTCAAATACATCATTTAGCGTTGATTTTGGAGTAAATGATGGTGTGCTTTCTGAAAGCATTAATCAGGAAAGTAAGGAAACCCTTCTGATTGGCGTACTGTATAAACTTTCCATCTTTCCATTATCTTGAGAGTTTACAGAAACAGTTTCCAATGAACATCAATTAGGGGTTATAACGGATTACCTCTAGTTGTATCGATCTTGTCTTTAATGTTTCGGTAAAGCTCGTTTTGCAATATCATTAGTTACAGAAATTGTTTGAGGTTAAAAATTTCAGTTTTACAAGTTGTTTAAACTGAACTTTGACAAGTTAATCTCTTGTTACAGGTGCGCCCTATGAGACTTTCTGTGAGGAAAACGCAGGTAACTATTTAACCTATATAAAGCTAGCTGAAAAATAAGAAAAATGACCATTTAAGTACTTGAGGAAGCGACAAGTTTCTCTTATGCCTAATAGCAGCATTTATTGTAACTTTTTAGCTAAAGATAATTACGTATCCAACGCGGTCACACCTATGTTACACAATCATTACAAAATTACGTACGTTAAAGAACAGGGGAATCGTTCTTCACTAGTCACGGCTCATTCTATTGTTCTTTTTTATTAGCGCCATCTTGGAGCTCGTGGTCAATATGGCTACAGTCAGGGAGTACTGACTTCCGGATCCGGTATTGCAAGATTGGAAGCAGTGTTGCTGAATCACATGCCAACTGTGGGAACGACAGGATAGAGGTTCGACCCTGTAAAAAGCGTGACGCAATGCCATGCAGCTCGGAGTTTGGTGAGGAAAGCCAACAATACGACTACGAATGTGCCGGAACAGACATGCAAGACGTGCAGGCCATAGGTCAGTATACATTAAACTACACATAGATCGCTATTCCTATCACGGTATATTAAATTTCAATGTAGCTACCCTTGTGATAACTCGAAAAAAATATAGAACTGTCCTCCATTACCTGTCTACCTTATCTTCGTGCGGAGACCAATAGAACTGTTCTCCATTACCTGTCTACCTTATATTCATGCGGAGACCAATAGAACTGTCCTCCATTACCTGTCTACCTAATCTTCATGAGGAGACCAAGATAGCTGTCCTCCATTACCTGTCTACCTTATCTTCGTACGGAGACCAAGAGAACTGTCCTCCATTACCTGTCTACCTTATCTTCGTGCGGAGACCAATAGAGCTGTCCTCCATTACCTGTCTACCTTATCTTCGTACGGAGATCATTAGAACTGTCCTCCATTACCTGTCTACCTTATCTTCGTACGGAGACCAAGAGAACTGTCCTTCATTACCTGTCTACCTTATCTTCGTACGGAGATCATTAGAACTGTCCTCCATTACCTGTCTACCTTATCTTCGTACGGAGACCAAGAGAACTGTCCTCCATTACCTGTCTACCTTATCTTCGTACGGAGACCAAGAGAACTGTCCTCCATTACCTGTCTACCTTATATTCATGCGGAGACCAATAGAACTGTCCTCCATTACCTGTCTACCTTATCTTCGTACGGAGACCAAGAGAACTGTCCTCCATTACCTGTCTACCTTATGTTCATGCGGAGACCAAGAGAACTGTCCTCCATTACCTGTCTACCTTATATTCATGCGGAGACCAAGAGAACTGTCCTCCATTACCTGTCTACCTTATCTTCGTACGGAGACCAATAGAACTGTCCTCCATTACCTGTCTACCTTATGTTCATGCGGAGACCAAGAGAACTGTCCTCCATTACCTGTCTACCTTATCTTCGTGCGGAGACCAAGAGAACTGTCCTCCATTACCTGTCTACCTTATCTTCATGCGGAGACCAATAGAACTGTCCTCCATTACCTGTCTACCTTATCTTTATGCGGAGACCAAGAGAACTGTCCTCCATTACCTGTCTACCTTATCTTCGTACGGAGACCAATAGAACTGTCCTCAATTACCTGTCTACCTTATCTTCATGCGGAGACCGATAGAACTGTCCTCCATTACCTGTCTACCTTATGTTCATGCGGAGACCGATAGAACTGTCCTCCATTACCTGTCTACCTTATGTTCATGCGGAGACCGATAGAACTGTCCTCCATTACCTGTCTACCTTATTTTCATGCGGAGACCGATAGAACTGTCCTCCATTACCTGTCTACCTTATCTTCATGCGGAGACCAAGAGAACTGTCCTCCATTACCTGTCTACCTTATATAGTAATATCATATTATGTCTTATTTTACCGTTAAAACGCTGCAATGATGACGCTGATAAAACCAATAAGTTATATTTATAATTGCTTTCTTAGTCTATAACGATGTATATGAGGTAAGTCTTTCTAGGAGGTGTGGCTAATAACTAATCTTTTCGCGTAATTTCAGTATCGTTTTTTGTAATTAACACTACAAACTACGATGATTGATTGGTGGGTGGTCAGGATATTGAATATGTAGCTGCATTCTAATATTTCCTGTCCTGTTCAACATTAATTATTTTAATCTAAATTCGTTATCAAGTTATTACAGATTGTAGCCTTCATTATGAAACGTGATTAGATTTAAAGTACAGTATGTGACTAATGCGAAGTGCTTTATTAAATTCATTACAACAAGATGTCGGCGATACTCAACAGCGCTCTTACATATTAGAGGAGCAAAACTGTCGCTCCGAAAACGCAAGCCAGTCCTTTACTGATATAAAGTCTATATAACAATCCTGTCATACTATAACTTATCTAGAACGACAATTTCCCATCGGTAATAACTGTTACCATACATAAGTTATGGTGACTTTAGGCATACCACAGGTAGGTCATCCTTTAATAAAGAACACTGTTTCTTAATGTTATGGTTAAACGTGATCATATTAAACATTATTATTTAATTCTCAGAGTCAAATAAAGCTGTTCCTGTTGCAAATATCAATTAGGTCATATTACTTATAGTGATATCGAATGTACTGTCAACTAACCAAAAATTTTATACGTGTTGTTAAATCACCAGTCTTAATTGTTCACATTTATTTTACATATCCAGTGTTAAACGTTTACACGTGTTTTAAATCTCCAATCTTAATGTTTTGCATGCATTTTACTTACCTAGTGAAAAAAACTTGTGATATACATGTATCCGTGTCAAACTTCGCACGTGTCATATTCACGAGTACAAGTACACTTGCGTTGTTACAGTTGCAGTGTACCAGTGTAACGCATGATATAGTCAAATGTGTTCTTCTCTCGCCAATTAAACTAAATTAGAATTTAAAGCTCTCTCTCTCTCTCTCTCTCTCTCTCTCTCTCTCTCTCTCTCTCTCTCTCTCTCTCTCTCTCTCTCTCATTCTTTGTATATAAACTGCTTAACATTTTTTTCATTATAAATAGTACAGTATGCTACCAATGTTTGACGCTTGCTAGTAGGTATATACTGTAGTGTGTCCTTTCTTTGCCACGGCTCTTACTTTGAGAGTTGACATGACTTGACATGGGCTGACAACTCGAGTGTTATAGTACTTTTTCAAGAATAGTCGTGTATATCTTTTGTCCATATTATGTCGATATTTCGGTCTGTGATTCATCTGTTTCAAGTTATTATTTCTGGTTTATTAGAACATCGATATTATATAGTCGTATTTTCAACTAAGATATTTAGACGCAGTTTAAAAATCTCATTTCTTATTTCCAATGAAAACACAGCTATTATATTTTGATACATTAAGGGCTTTTACCAGCTGGGTATCGTTCGGTGTTATTTGTTTAGAACTGTACTTTATGAACTTATGATCATGCAATCTTTTCCTGTTCAACACCAACGACAAAGAATTAAGTATTGATGTTTAACATCCTGTGTAGTTCTTTAATGTGTTTGTTCTTGTATCAAGGCGATAAAATAATGTTTTCTCTAAAAGGATTACATTTAAATTTCTGTATTTCTAATATTCCTTCTACAAAAATTATTTTTTCTTTTTTTATATCTTGTGAAGCTAATACCGTAATCAGTATGAAATGAACAATAGTGTTACGAATTGAAGTGGCTTGACGATGCTGAAAACCAGAAAGTAGAGAAAACAAACCGTCTTCTTTTCCAGCTAATAATTCTCGAGTTTTTCCCTTTTTACAGATCAACTGTTCGACGGAAAGCTCGCCAATGGTAAGTGAGAATATTTCCTTTTGTATTTTATTGACATCCGACCCATCCATCAGGCGGTGTGATATTGATCAGGGTAATGAGTCTACCGGGAAACTACTGGCAGTAAGGATTTTCCGCTTATGTTCTGCACACCAAATTTTCAAAATCACCAATTTCCGGGTACTACAGATATCTTAAAATTCCGGAAAGAGTTTTCTAACGATTAAAACCGATTTAGTTAAACTACGGAATTGATGATTTGTAATAAATTCCTACAAGTGCAGAAATTAGATCAGATGAAACAAACTACAACAAAAATGGAATACTGTAATGACGTACTTTAGCAATAACACGCACTCCGCTAATGTTAATTTTATTTCTAAGTTAATTCCAAAATACGAAAGACGAGTTTTGGATTGGAATACCACAAAATGATTCCTTTAATGTTACACGTTGTACCCTGAGTGTGAGATGACACAGATTCCGTTCTCGCCAGCTTATTACATTGTAGAGAATCGATGTTAAATGTATTTACAGAAACATCGTATAAAATCATATTGTGTAAGGTTGTTTACTCGTTCATTGTTACAAGTGAATGGTTTTGTTATTAACTTCATAATCCAACAGAATATTGAAATAAAATGTACTGGATAATTCAAAATGTTATCCTCATGATGATTAATCATTTTTACCCCACAGCCCAAAAGGGTGTGGGGTATTGCGATCACGCACGGCGTCCGTCCGTCCGGCCGGCCGTCTCGCCGTCTCGCCGTCCAGCCGTCCGTCCACAATTGCATACTGCTTATTATCTCCAAAACTACATCACCGGTCATCACCATTTTCACTGGGGATGTTGGGCCTATGGACCTACGCAACCCTATTGTTTTTCGTCACCGCGCGATATCCAATATGGCGGTTACGGGCGTCATCTTGAATTTGCATTCCGCTCATTATCTCAAGAACGACATCACTAGCGATCACCATTTTCGCTGGGCATGTTGGGCCTATGGACCTACACAGCCTGTTGAGGTTCTTCACAATCTCAGACCTGCACCCAATTTATAATAAGGCTGTGGGGTTTTGCCCGAGTTTGCGCAGCAATTTTTAATTTTGTCGTTGAAATTGATCCGCCATATTCGATCGAAACATTGTTATCATATTGTCTGTTTAATTCAGTACATTTAAACAGCAGTATAATAGGCAATATCAGACGTTCGACATAATCCAAGAATTTTAATTCGATATCACCGTTGTATATTATTTCGATTGAAGTCTTATAATCGTTCTTTTACTTTACTCGAAATACAATCAAATTTGATCCGGTTAAAAAGGAAAATCCTACCTAGAAATTGTTCAGAAACTGTAATATCAAAATCACAATTGTAAATAAATTTCAACACATATGTTTTGGTAAATGTGTTACAGAAATGGAGTGTAAATTCTCCCTGTACGATGCTGGCATGCAGAAATTTGTCCACTCCAACTGGACATGGCGGACACTGATGGAGAAAGGAGATCAGGTCATCTGGTGCAATCACAGAGCGATTTTTATCCCGTTCTCCTCAGCACCCAAACACTGTCAGGACAAATTAGAAGACTTTTGCAAGAAAGAGACCGAATGTAGACCAAAGAAGAAGACCATGAAAAACAAAGGCGACCGGAAACACAAGTGTTGGAAGAAGTTCCTCTTGGACGAGGTCTCTCCTAAAGGTTTTCCAAACATCTCAGATAAATATCACGTTTGCCAGCGTTTCGCCCCAGGGACAGAGTTTGCGGATATTTTTGGACCCAAATCAACACAATTTGCAACCGTTTACGATACGGTGAGGCGCAGTCCCTTGATGTCATTCGCACGCTTCAAAGACCTGGGAGACTCGCTGAGGCCCACGCTTCCCTTTATGTTGGAGAAAGGTGAGTCTGCTCAATGTTCGACCTTGTTAGGGACATTCAAATAGATTGTAAGTCCAAACAAAGCTGCATTGCCATGCTCCAAAAATAGGTATAAGGTGTATAAATCTGCATAACCTAGTCTCTGCACATTATCACCTCCAGTCTGAAGGAGATATTGATATCACCCAAAGAGACAGAATCTGGAATTCTTCTCGAAACAGGCATAATAGACTTATAACCGTAAGTTAAAACAATACCGTCCAACAAGCATTTGACTGTCAGAATATTGTTTTCACTTACAGTTATAAATCTATTATTCCTGTTTCGAGAAGAACTCCAGTCAAACGCTTTGCGATAAATAAATAGATAATTTTACCTGTACATTGGCGACATGCGATGATTCGATTAAAGAATCGTGTTCTATATTATCAATTGACGAGTTGAAATATAATCATTATGACATGGAGACGAGTATAATGTTATTTATCATATAATCCACACTCTTATAAATTATGAAGAAAAAATGTAGTTCGGTTTCCTATAAAGAATTTTATGCCAAGACATTAATATTACATCATCACTATTGGTATTTTCTAACTAAATATTGTCCAGACTATTGCATATCTTTTGATGTGATAATGGACTTCAATGCAATACTGCTACTCATACTTTCCAACATAACGAACTAGAATGAAAAGCAATGATGTTGCTACTGATAACTATACTTGAGAAATGTTTGAAGGAGTCATTTTCCCAAACTCCGTCCCTGACTTACATTTTACATCCTATTTCATGGTGATAGACATATAATCTACGAGTCTTTCTGTCGTCTGTAACACTCCAACTTAAGGAAACCTCGGAGTCAATACTAATGTTCTGCACTCTCTCATTATAGGTCTTCTTCCCATTGACTACACTCTGTTAAGTCTCTTCTTTGAGCAAAAGCGGAGAGGCATGATACAAAAACGAACCGAGACCAAAGAACAAGCTTGTCAAACTGGATTTTACCAAGCTTTGGAGAACGACTACAAAGACTCCAAATATCACATTATGCAACTGCTTTCCCCGGACATCGCCGGCTTCGAAGTGAGTAAGAGAATCGCCACATACACCATGACCAACACGCTTCCAATCCACATTTCCCTTTATACAGCATGGAACCAGGCCGTGCAAAACGTCCGCCATTTTGCAGTCGATCACTGCAGCATTCCGATCTATACCGAAAGTGACCAAAACAAAAAACGACGACAGTCACATGACTATCCAGAAGTGTATGTAATCACCGGTGCAGTCCCATCCACTAATCCAGAGATGTTGCTGAACAAGCGTGTTAACATTCCATACTTGGTGTGGATGGCTGCCTGTTGTGTTCGTGGAGCGGAAACGTCATCGTTTTCTGTGTACGTGCGAAATGAGATCAACAGCCCCATCATTGTAGCTCCCGTCGTTCAGCTCGAGGTCTTGTTGTCTGACCTTTATAACGATGGCGAGCAAAACTCCGTGAAACTATTCCCAGCCTTCGAGGGTGTATGTTCAAACATTCAACATGACGTGTCACAGGTGATCAGCGCTTAGTTTACACATACAGTAGAATTCACATGCGATGTCTACAATGCATTGTCTTGGAAATCGTTATTGGCTAAATAAACGACAGCAGCAACAAAAGCACATGAGATTGCTGTGGACGAGAGATGTTGATGGAAGTAGACGGCAATCTTTAAGTTATTGAAAGCAATCTCATGAACGATTGAACAACAGGCAGAGAAAAAACGATAAAAAAAGCAATCAAATTGCAGTCCATTTTAAAATCGATACACATGACAAATGCAAGTGATCATTTAACACACAGTCAACTGTTAGCGTTCGAACACGTGGTAAAGGACAAACAGTTCGAAAACTTAGTATTGGTGTCTTGTAATGAAACAAAAAGTCTGAAAATACGTGCAATGCACCTGCTTAGAATAGCGAGGAGGAACATATTCTGCCTTGCCGGAAATTTCACAACGTATTAAGGGATGTAACTCCGGTGTACGACTGGCTAGGACGGATAATGATTTTGAACGAGATCAGATTTATAACAGACGGCGTCATGCTAAGGACGATTTGTTCGTGATCACTGAAGCACTACGTTACTGAGGGGAACCATTCACCATGTGGAACATCCAGTATCATTGTATAGTTATTAATTCATCATTGAAATGTTTACACTAAAATCACCAACCTGGGATATCTGACAGTTTCACTTGACTAGCGAGGCATGGCAAGAGCAAAGGATAAGCAAAAATCACTTAATCAATTAAAGCAATCTTTTTGGATAGACGCATATGATTCTAGTGAAACTATCGAACATCCTGATGATATCAAACATCAACACCACAAACATTATCACCTTATCTACTTCTGTTCATTAAATGAACATGTCTCACGTAATAACTGTGTATGTTACCACAATGTACGTCAATAGCAATACTGTACACTGGACAGAAAGTAGCAGAATGTCTCCTGTATATATTACTCGTATTTGTTAATAGAGCGTATGCATTGTCTGCATTGTATATAAGATATATTTGTACGCCTGACAAGTAAATTACGTGGATATAAGAAAGAGAAACAAAATGGAGCTCTAGGATAAGAAATCGTCAGCGCTGTTGATGGTTCTTAACTTGTAACCAAGGTAGAAATACATTGTTGTATCATTACATGGTAAGTCTTTCTTGTATAATCCCCATTAACACTCGACACTGTTAGTAAAATACTGAAATTATAAAGTAACTTTTTATATATCATAGCAAGACAAGCTCCTAGAACATAACACAAAATATACACAAATTAATAGCACCTCTAAATAAGAATTAGATACAGTAGAGTCACACAATGAATGAAATTCCATCCTCCACCTTAATTCTGAAACCCAGGAGGCGATATTGGAAAATTAAAACCGACCGAAACAGCCAACAGTCATGGTAGTTATAAGATGTTAACATTGCGGAATTATTTGTTTATTGTGTATCTATCTATCATTATCTATACAGCTGATTTATGAGATTTGGAAGATGTTCATTGTATTTGGTGCATACAGCAAACATATAATTTACTGTTAACCGGAGGAAACATCTATTATTAAAAACTTAATTTTATACCCAAATTATTAGCAAGATTAAACAAAGGAAGATGTTTATTCAGAACAATGTTAAGGATAGTGTTTTGATACAGGACAATACCTGTGAAGAGTTACACGATACGTAATAAAGGTTTTACATGTGATAAGTATAGCACTGTGTAGGGGTGTTTCTAAATGTATATAGAATAAGGTTACACGGAGATTTAACATTAATATTTGGAATCACAGTTTGTATATACTGCACTTGGTGTTACGTATATGTTGAGATAATTCCTTTCGTTGTTTGATTTTGTTGGCATAATCATAAATTTGCTGATAATGCATGTTTAATACATATACATATTTGTAAAATGATAATCAATATGATTCGCATATCATTTATATAGTACATATTTTCATAATATGAAAGATTTTTGCTGAACAGTAGTATGTGTACACACCTGTAACATGTGTGAAATCTTGTTTGCTGTTGAAACCTTGTTCAGAATCAACTCAGCCATAGCAATACCCTTGTGCAAAGTGACAGGGTATCGCAGTACACGTTAAAATTCCTTACACCAGTGCCATGATAAGCAAATGTCAAAGAAAAATGAGGAATGCGAAACAGCCATGTACCGGGAGTCGTATATACCTTTGTCTTAAGTACGGAAACAAACAGCAACCAAGTAGTACAGTTTAAGTGGCTAAAATCACCCAATGACAAGACTCACTGGTAATAGCGAGATTTGTATTTTCGAAATAAGCGTGTTTTACGTGCCGCTATCAACTTCCGTAAACAATTTCCATTTGTCGTGAGATTGATATGCCCTTGAGTTTACAGGATATTTAAGAAATGACACAGAATTCGACTATCATCACATTATATTCCTACATGGCTGATGAAATATTGAATATGAACTGATGATATTAATATCAACAGCTATTTAGATGATTAATTTTATCGATTTTGTGTAATACGTCATTATATTGTGTAAACTTGCACGGATTTAACATTCCATGTAGACGTGACGTCACCGCAGGTTGTGATTCCATTTTGCCCTATTCGTTATTTTATACAATATCATAAGTATTCATTTATTTAATCATCTTTAGACTGCTTACATACTGAAATGTAGTTTAATGGATAAATGTTAATAGTTTGGGATCATATTAACCAAAAACGGCAATGGAAACATCGCCACTACCGCGTCACGTGGTCTTGATCGTGACGTCAATAAATTTTACTGTTTGTAATTGTTATTCTGTGATAATGACATCGATGAAGTCCATTTTAGTAACGAAAATGAGAAAATTTGAAAACGTATTTCATGAAATAGATTCCTGGAATTAATTTCGTAATAGATATGAAGAGCAATGACCATTAATCTAACGAACCTGATGTGTAACGAGCAATATACACGCCACTCGAATATTAGTAATAGTCGCACAGCTAATATCCAGTGCTGGCTTATAATTGTGTCAGTGGTAATATGCACAAGGAGCTGTTGCAAACATATCCCCTCCCTAATGATAGCAACACGACGGAATCTCTGCAACGATCCATGATGGGAAAGTATTTCAATGAACACTCAAAATGCATATTTTCGGAGTAAGCAACATCTCCTCCACAAATAGGATTGTTACAAAATATCTGTAGCAGAATCAAGATGATGACCTGACGAATTGAATTCTGCTTCCGTCAAACTATGATCTGAACGAATACCAAATATAAGGCATATGTTCTCTTTTACCAGCATTACCAGAAACACATCCGTGTGAGAGAGAAGAGAACAAAACTCTAATAAATTAGATAGAATATATTAAACTGATGGTAAATCTCCAATGCCGTTTATTACGACAAAATTATCCGAAACTGGAAGCTCAGTACCTCATTAGTGCTAGGGTCCTTCCTCATAAGTGCTGGAGCTCATTCTCAATAGTGCTGGAGCTCATTCTCAAAAGTGCTTGAGCTCATCCTCAATAGTGCTTGAGCTCATTCTCAATACTGCTTGAGCTCATCCTCAATAGTGCTGGGGCTCTTCTTCATAAGTGCTGGGGTCCTTCTTCATTAGTGAAGTGGTCCTTCATCAAAAGTGCTGTAGTCCTTCCTCATTCATGGAATTGAAAACTGTTCAACAATAGTACATTCCTCAGAGGACCTTAGGGCAGTCGTAAATATTAATTATGTCATTATAGAATATCACCTTTTCACAATGCTTAGTTCATTAATCTCATTATGCACATCGCGTATGTTTACAAATTACTATTATAACAAACTATACAGATTGTGTTGTTGCTTCATTGCCAGGTTTACACCTGTAAGTACAGCTTTTAATTTCCTTTCAAAGACGAGAAATAAAAAGATGAACCGATATTAAAGTCTTAGTTTGAAAGGAAAGGGATATGTTAGTTAAACGCGTGAGTAATTTCAAAATTAAATGTCAAGATGTCTGCATTAGAAATCCTATAAGAAGTATTTCGTCTTTTCCTCATATTATTAACTATAATTGTTAGACACAAACATTCTAATGGGCGTCTCATCTGTCGGACACTACCGGGTTACCTCCCTCAAAAACATTATCATATTATATGAAAAAAAATTCATTGATTCTAAAAAAAAGAATCTCTAGAATCTTAACAGAAAAAAAAAACTTTCATTATAGTCAAAGAAAAGATGTAATAGAAATGTAAAATGTCGTGACATTGTGATGTAGATAGTGGAGAGGATTTGTCAATCGCTGTAGCAACAGAATATTGGCGTACGTCATGTTATTTCACACATCTCGTCATTTAGTCTAGCCTACTAATGTGATATTGACGAGAAGATGTCCCGGTAGTCGTCTTTTATGATCAAATTAATTAAACAGTAGCCACATTTGTGACATTCTTTTCATCTTACCATTCTAGTTAAGATATCTGTGATGCATTGTTTGATTTGAACATGTTCATTTGTTGCTTCAATAAAAAATCGAAAATGATGTTAAAGTCTTCTCAATTGTTTTTTCAATTGGTTTGATCAGGCATCCCAAACGTCTATAATGATTTTTTTATTCTTTCTTTTTTCAGTTAATTCATTGTATTGACTGCTTTGAAACTGAATTTCAATATTTCGTAACGAATACAATCTCTCATATTATGCAACCTATATGTTCAATGATCTTCCCCAAGATGTTTACTGACATCACAATGTAACCTTTTTTGGTCTTCAGTATCAATATTGGTACACGTAGCTATTTTTGAGTTGTTAGTGTTTTTTTCATTACTTTCAAACTCATCTTTGTAATTGAAATGAGCGTGAAGTGTTTCACTATTTACCTCGCGGCCTTTTACTTAACTTAAATCGCTCTTGACATTCACATTTCAAATTGTGTAGAATGCCAAAGAATGAATTCGACATTTGGTTTGATCTGATGCCAAGAGACTATGTATAAAAGAGGGCACCTGTCAATTAGGATAGTTAACATTTCAATATGGAATTGAGGTGTCCTTGTAAAGAGAACAACAGTGTAGTGTTTCTTTTAATGTCAAGGAAACGTCCCAACGTGAAAGTTTAAGGTCGCTGTCAGTGAGAATGTGACAAATACAGAAATAGATTATATTGGAATAACTACCTTAACTATAAAGCGAGAGGTCTGCTTATTGATTATGGAGTCCAAATTCCAAAAGTAAAGGTCAAGGTTAGCCATTATCGAAATATAATGTCAGAACTCCATAATCATTTATATGTAGAAACTTCCAAATGACATCGAACGGTTTTCCGCACGTTGATTTCTGTGTATATTGAGATCAAAATGCCAAGGTCTGTATAAACCATTATAAACATTCTTATACGTCTTTCTTGGTTGGATTGGGTAATGTCACGACACATAGCGAGAACTCTAATGGTTTCTATGTTATACCGATAAGGATAACAAGATTTATGGTTTACACTAAAGCATAGCCTCCGTGATGGATAATGTTAATAATCCGCGCTGGTCTCTGATTCTTCTTCCCTGATAGAATTTGTTTATACATCACTGCACATAGGCTTTGTTCAGGAAATTTTCTTTCTGTAAAATTGATGATCACAAAAGAAATTAACTTGCAGAATGAATACAATCGTCCTGTACAAAAAATCGTCTTATTCCAGTATATTTTTCCACTTCCTCAAGCTTATATTCTGTCAGTCTCAGCGTTACCATGGCTTTCAGTTGAACAATTAAAAAAAATCATCTTATTCTGATTCATTGAATATTGCGTAGTAGATAACACACTGTTCCTATAACGGGATCGTGTATCTGTGTAAATACTTTCTTTAAAATGAAAACTTATTTCTGTGGAAAAACCAAATTTTGTGATTAATGAGAAAGAAAAGTATTTTAAAGCAACAATCTGGTTTACTAAGTGTTTGTTATGTACATGTAGAAATAGAAACCTGTTTACTGTTGTTTATAATGTATTAGACCAACTTATTGTGAAATTCTCCACAGGAAACATTTTTGATAAGTTATTTTAAAATCAAACCTTTGTTTATCTATTAACAAAGACTAAAAAAATTGCTGACAATAATTAAAAGGTCACTATTTCTTCGTCAACTCTGGTATCGCTCGCACACCCAAAAAAAGCTTGTTCCACACACTTACTCTGTCGGTTGTAAAGCAAAGTTTGAAACAGGTAGCAAACGAAATAGAAGTCATCTCTATAGCGGTTAGAGACGTCATATGGAATTCTTTCGCTATACCTAAGCTTTCATAAAGATTTCTTTCAATTGATGACTAGAATAGCATAAGTAGGTCGTTTTTGTTGATCTGGTTTTTTAAGTGACATACAATCCGTTTCACGTAATGAATAATGTATTTTATGTAAAGAAGGTAGTTGAATTTCAATGATATCGGCAGAACTATGACTTCCTTAATACTAACCATGTCAACCATGGATAAAGGGAGGTAACCGCGGTACGCTCTGAATAGTGGCACAGGAAGATTTTAGATTTTGTTAATACAAAGTAAACCAAAATCATACAATACTATCATCAGACTTAATTTATTTATATGTTCATTCGACTGGAGCTAAAACTTTTACTCGAATCATCTTAAAACATTATCATGCATACTCCCATGAGTAGCACATTCACTCTCAATGGACCGGAAATGTCAAACTCACTCACAATGGACCGGAAATGGTAATACTCACTCTCAATGGACCGGCAATGGTCATACTCACTCACAATGGACCGGAAATCCTTACTCACTCGGGGAATCCAAGAATACGACTGTGTGTCACTTTGTGATCAGAGAAGGTGACGAAGTCGGCCCCTTGTGGAAGCAAGTTTTTTTCTTCGGTGTCTTTAACCAAGGGGACAGGAGAGCAACATAGATTATACAACCAATATTTTAACTATTTGGATCTTTATTTATTTATCTTTTTTTTCTCAGCTGTTTCTTTATGTGCTTTTTTTCCAACATTGGTATTCGTCTTGGCATCCGTCCTCACATGATAATGGTCAAACAAAACGATAAAACCAAGGCCATGCATGTACTTGCTTAATATGAACTCAGGCATACTCGCCATAGTCTCAAATATTATCATACTCATTCACTTTAGACTAAATAAGTGTAATTAAACTCACTTATCATAAATTGAAATATGATCGTACACACTTATTATGGACTATGGTAGGCTCATACTCACAATGACCTAAATCAATCATTATCTGCACACGAACTTTGGACTTACTCGAGACCATACTCACGCAGAATAATCTAAAACCCTCATTTACTATAAAATATGACAGGATCATATTCACAATAAATCAATGTACGGTAATACATGTCTTACTCGCCATACAGCAGGATCATGCTCGTTCACAGGGTAAGATCGTGCTCACTCAACATGTTATGAAAAGACGAAGCCATATTTACTATAAAGTTAGAGAACATCAAATACACAAGTATATACCAGTATCAATTTTAACACTCTATTTACTTATGTGTCATATTATACACTTAAAATGAATCGGGATCTTCGCCTTAGTGGACGGAACGCTATTTATGTCAGTTTCCTGTTTTCTTCCTCACACCGGAGTGATCGAATTCTTGATCGAGGTCACTATACACCTGAATACATAGATTTGTGACTGTATATCAACGACACAAAAACATCTAGATGAGTCGTCTAACGATAATTCTTTAGATATTGCCATTCAGTTGTAATCGTTTATGATATTCTGGTACTGTAGCTTTCTAAGTGAGTAATGGAAGATTGTATAAGACACGTGAACGATACATTTCAATACAAATTAACTAGAGCCAAATAAGGACTGAAACTGCAATATACAGCTGTTGAGGTCATTGAGGTCATCACAAAAGTACGTCCACAATGAGGTCATTACCCAAGTACGTCCACATTGAGGTCCTCACCCAAGTACGTCCACAATGAGGTCATCACCCAAGTACGTCCACAATGAGGTCATCACTCAAGTACGTCCACAATGAGGTCCTCACCCAGGTACGTCCACAATGAGGTCATCACCCAAGTACGTCCACAATGAGGTCCTCACACAAGTACGTCCACAATGAGGTCCACGCCCAAGTACGTCCACAATGTGGTCCTCATCCAAGTACGTCGACAATGAGGTCCTCACACAAGTACGTCAACAATGAGGTCCTCGCCCAAGTACGTCCACAATGAGGTCCACACCCCAGTATGTCAACAATGACACAGTGACATTATTTACCCATGAACGTACCGTGACATCTACTACCAATGTACGTACACAGTGACATCCATTACCAATGTACGTACACATGACATCCATTACCCATGTACATAAACAGTGACATCCATTACCAATGTAGGTACACAGTGACATCCATTACCAATGTACGTACACAGTGACATCCATTACCCATGTACGTACACAGTGACATCCATTACCCATGTACGTACACAGTGACATCCATTACCAATTTACGTACACAGTGACATCCATTACCAATATACGTACACAGTGACATCCATTACCCCTGTTCATCAACAGTAACATCCGGACTTCTTGGCATTATTAACTGAATGAAAACGATAAATACAATATTCTCAACCTACCTTTCCATTTCAAATGATATTTTCTTTCATTTTTTAACTTGCAAAATAATTAATTCCACAAATTAATAAATGTCTCAAAATATCGTTTATCTTCTTATTTTTGTGTAAACGGCTCACACGACTAAATCAGCACATGAGCGAGTGGAATTCTGTTTCATCCTGGTAGATCAAAATTGTGATTTTTATAAAAGATTGTGCTCTCTGGGGTTGAATGAATAGAGGACCCGTCAGATATATTGATTGGCATACATTTGAAATATTGGGGCGAATGAAAAAAATTTTAAATGTTCGGGATAAATATTTTGACCGGAAGTTTTATTTTCCATTTATTTTCCCAAGAAGTGTAACAATAGAAACGAAAATGCATTGATATATACTTCTGTATTTGAAGAAATGTCAATTGGCGTAACAACAAACACATGCGTTCTGTAACCTGATACCAAATATTAATCTTATTCTATACACAGTAGTACCAATTAACGTTAGAGCACATCTGTAGATTACATTATGTATGTGTTATAGCTAAATACTATCGTCTAAGAGTGATAACTCCTTTGGAGCTAATATTCAGGTGTCGCGGTGCTACAGTTGTGGGATCGCACAATGTTACACGATGTACGATGTGCGCACGATGTCTCCGCGATGTGCGCACGACCTACACACGAAGATTTTGGTGCGTTGTGCGTTACCACAACTGTACTATCGACAACGCCGATACAACGGGGTATCTTAGTACACACACACAAACGCTCACATACACACACACACATCAACACATACACCACACACACACACACACACACACACACACACACACACACACACACACACACACACACATTTATATATATATATATTATGTACATATGTATATATGTAAGTCCATATGTATACAGTCACATTAAAAAAAGCTATTCCTGTGTGAAAACTTGATGAAATTCACTGAAAATATATTTGTATTTGGATGGTTTTTTTAGAATTTTTATTTCTTGATGTGAACAACATAACATTGATATAACTACCACAAACAGACATGAGTGGAGATGATCTCTGTATCTATGGTAAATAGGGGTAAATAACAACGTAATACATCAGTATTCATCTCATCAGTCATCGAGAATTCGGGAAGTTCGTACTTATTTACAATGTCCGTTTTCATGGAAAAGTCATTGCACGGTCAGACTGGTTTCCGCTTTGTCCTTGAATTAATTTAGTATATAAATAGATAACGACGCTCTCCACAATATCGTGTGAATCTTAAGCTCTGTAGACGGCACTCTGAGTCCTTCTTGACACACCGCTAAAGACTTCCTTGTCATACTGGTATGTAAAATTTCTTATTTTATTATCATTATTATTATTTTGAATTTTCTTTCGAAACAAAACCCTTAGAATTAAAGCATGCAGGTAGGCAACAGGTTACAATTCTCCCGTAAAATTAAAATTTTCTTCTTATGAACCCGATAAAATGTAATATTACGGCAATTCCAAACTTTCTTACTTGGCGATATAACCAGTGTTCATAAACAGTTGCTGCTGATCATGAAATTGAAAAAAAAAAAAAATGCAAAATAGTTGTTTTGCCCAACAAATTATGACATACCTTCACAGAAGCTATATCTTGTAAGTATCTGACATAGTAACACTTGTTTCGTCTATTCCTGTCACCCGATCGGAAAATCTTTGAAACATAATTTAAAACAAAAAGTCATGCTGCCTTGTGCTTCCATTTCAGAATCTGAATAACAGTTTTACATAGTATGTGCGAACTGTTTAAGCAATACTACAGTTAATAATAATAATTGGCTTTTTATTATAACTACTGAAAAAATAATCTGTTTTTCATTTTATGGTTTATGTAACTGTAAGATATGTTTTTAATTTCATAAATAAATACAAAGTCACCCCCTCTGTAAGGTTGGCCTTTTTCATTCATATTCATTGTTGTGTCGATTCTTGTCGTAGTGTGCATATACATAAATGATCATTAAGATAAAACTATAATAAAATAAACAATTTGGTAAAATTACGGCGTGAAATTTATTTCTTATATTGGCAAAATATTCATGTCGTCACGTGTTGGTATGTTGTTTATCTATAGTCTAGTGAGGTTTACCCATGCACCATGCAATTCTATTTTTATCTGACCGTCTATGACCAATGTTTTTCATGAAAATGTTATTTCAATGTAAAGTTCGTCTGAACTCTGCTGCAGGTATTCAAGCATTAAACCCACCCGTAATATCATTCAACATGGCTCTACATGATGATTTCACAATCCTAAAAAAAACTTCTCTTGTTTCCGCTCGATGACCACTGTCCGAGTCTATATATCTTTTTGATGATGCAATTTAGTGTTATTGTATTTATCTCTAAACTTGTATTAAAGGGTGCTTGTTTGTATTTTGTACAATTTAACATATTGGTTCGATATTACTTCATTATAAGCTATCTACCAGTAAGTAATAGTTGTATGTTTATCCTATCTATATTACGTTATATATGTCCAGTTGTTGATGTTTCATTGTTTCTTTCATTGTTTTAATTGGTAGACTAGAAAAGCTTTGGCGGATTAAAATTATTTGACTTAACTAACTAACGTATTCTTTTCAGATCTTTAGATATGAATCGAAAGTTGTACACGGCCCTGGTTGGTAAAGCTGTTAGAGACCCAATAGTGCGTTCTGGCATGAAATTGGCCAGCAGGGTGAATTTATTCCAGGCGTTGAGGGAGAAACCCATGACCGTGCGCACACTTGCTTCTGAACTAAACATGAAAGAGAGGTAAGGGTTAATAATTAAAGGAAGCGCAAATGATTACCTCCCTTAGTGCACATAGGATTGTAGAGAAGATAGCAACTTCTATCGTTACCTCTCTCAGTGAACATAGAATTGTTATTGTATCTCAGAGTGTTGTGAAGCCATTTATTAAAAGAGCATGATATCATTGTATTTCTGTGTATTGTGGAGTCCCTGTCTCTCTCACATCTTTTTAGTTAGATCCCAAAAGTACTACTTCATAATCTTTCTTTGAAATTGTACACTGTGATTACATTTGGCGTCTGTACCTGTATCTGCTGGTGTTGCAACTCAGAAAAAGAAAACTCACCAAATGGGCAAGCTATTTCGAGTGTCGTAATGCCCTGCGTTTGATACAGGATAAATTACTTGTAATTTGCAAAGCGGATAAAGGAAGGTATTTAATTGATAAATAGTGGACAAATGTATTCTCCATTAGGTTTGTTGACATCAACTAATTATTTTCTTCTGATTCCATATGTACAGTCTTAATCTATCATGGTGGGACTGACCATTGTAAGTCATGTCAGTGTAGCTAGATAAACAGTCAGTCGGCTAGCTATTACTCTTATACATACAACAAATAGATGTTATTACCCAGTTCTATTTTTAATGTCCATGTAATATATAGTTAATCTTATTTACCGAGACTTTGACATTAGTACGTTGTCCTCTTCTCTGAATGAATTAAACATTTTGTTTTAGGTATATATGGGAGCTCAGCCAGGCCATGATGGCGTCCGGCGTGATCACCATGGATGCAGAGGAGCAATTAGCCATACCACCAGATTGTGCTGACATATTGTTAGCTGAGACAGAAAAAGCTGCTTGGAATCCCCATCTTTTTAAGACCTTACCCATCCTTGATAGCTGTTTTCCGTTGGATGGAAAACCAGGTTTGTATTATTTATGTTAACTGAAAAAATCAATTGGTAATATAATGTTAATATTTGCCTAATCCAACATTATTTGGATGTAAGCAAGTGCTTTTTTTTTTAATTCGGCGGCTATTTATTTAGGTGACATGCATAATCAAAGTTTACATTGTTGGGAATGTATTGTAGTGTTCGCATTGAACATTTATTTTGTATTTTCTGTTCAGTAGGAAAGATCTCATTGGACCAAGATAATCTAGACTCTATGTCTGTTTGCACAAAAACTTTAGATAATGAAGTACACTCAAATGTGTATCTATCAACATCTTGCTTATTTCCAAGGTCCGACAAAAAAACTAACAATTCAGAATTAATGTTAAAGAGTGAAACAATTCATCTACGGTACTCTATGGGTTACACCCTGTACCCCTGGAACGTTCCAGGATTACATTGAAGAATTCATGACTCCATGTGGATCAGACGAGAAAACTAGTTTGATCCTTTCATGTAAAATTCGAGATCGCACGGTATGTAGCACTGGCTTTGGTGTTGGGTGCCGCTCCTGTGTAATCTTGAAAGGGGGATATCGGTATGTTATTGCTCAGTTTTTTGTGTTTTTTTTTCTGAAACCTGTTCTATGCTTGCTCCTAAATATGTACTTATACGAACACCGTTGAAATATGGTATTTTGACTTGGCATTATACTGAATATCCACTATATTCTTTGACAATATGAATATTCTATTTTAAAATTGAGATGAAAGACTTTAATTATAATTTAATCATAAACAGGAAACTTGTGGTCTGTTTTGGTTGTCAAAGCAAATGCATCTATCAAGTTTTATTTTGTAATATCTTGCGCCAACATCATGATACTGGGAACAAGCCATAAAATCAATGGCGACATGTACCTTGTAAACCTGGTGTCCGAAAGTGGAAAATTCACGATAGGGCAATTGAAATCATCACGCTTATCATAAAGACTGGTGGAAAACTGATTTAGGACTGAATCCTACTTCTTAATCCGGCACCACGTGGAATACATGCATATACAAGTAACACGGGATGGACGTGTTGAACTGACGTCTGTACTAGAAAAATCCTGCGCACCTAGCGAGGCATATATATGAATCTTCATTCCTGTAATTTCAGGTTACACACTTGATGAGGCACCGTTTGTGTTGGATTTGCTAAATGAAGTTCGATCTCCATACAGAGCAAGTTTGGTTAAAGAACTCGTGTCCAACATTAACCTCTATTACACGGGAGGTAAGTTACTGTTTAAACTTAACCGAGAAACAGCTTGCCATCCGGGAAGGTAAAGGTAATTAAAACCCTCAAATAAAAGATAGAATCGTGACTTAGACTGGTAATTAGGCTTTCTTTACGGGGAAAATATATATAACAGAGAATTGTCAATGTTTCTTGTCAAAACGACGAAAAACATGAAAGACAAAGAAACAACAGTGTTAATTATGATGGATATAAATATCTGCAGCATAAACCATGTTTTATTACAAGGGGAAAAAAAGCATAAGAAAAAACTAAACAACATTTGGAACTGATTTTAGTGATATATAAAATAAATAATCAACCAGAGGGAGGAAGTAATGAACAAATATGTGTCGCCGCAATAAAGGTGTAATAAAGAAAATAGAAATGTTGTAAAACTATTTTGTGGAAACTCGAGAGTTTGTTAACAAGACATCTGGAATTAATATACTACTTTATTATAAATAGATAAAGAGTCGGTTATGTTCTATCATATAAACATAGAGAAAAAAATTTCTTATCAAAATAATGGAGGAAAATTCATTATCTTATTAGGGAAATACAGTAGTATTCAGTAAATTCACTTATTCCAATGATCGTAAATGTATACAAGATATTTCATGTAACAGAAATTATCCTATTTAGTGAATTTGATCAATCGTTGATACTTCGATAGATTTAATGATGTACTAGTTACTTATGGATATTGTTTCCAAAACAGTAAACGTTTTTTTTATAAAAATTAAAGATAAGACCAAACCATGGCCGGTTTACCGAGTTCTTTCATCACTGAATATACTTAAGATTTTCTCTAGGGATGTCCGCGTGGTGTATTAGTAAATTGGTTGTAAGGCACGATTAAAAAATGTCTTTCAACGTAATTACGTGTTTCTGTGTCAAAATACAAAACTATTAAACACAATGTACTACGTAAAGTATTTGATACAAAGGTTTATTTTTTATTAAAGTTTGTTGTATGTGCATATTTGTTGCATATGTTTTCTTCATTTCGATTCAGGTAACCTGAAAAATGTGCTGGATGTTGGATGTGGTTCAGGAGATATCACTATTTCCCTGGCAGAGCAAATGAAAGGTGTCAATGTTGTCGGGTGTGACACATCGGAAAAGGCTATCGTCACTGCATCAAAATCTTCTACAAAGGTCAAAAACGTGTCATTTACTCATGTAGATGGTGGAGCCTACCAAAAGGATTGGATAAAAAAATTTGACGTCATCCTGATGTTCGATGTCCTTCATGATCTTCCACATCCCGAAGAAACCATGACAGAAATTATAAAAGTGCTGAAGGATGACGGTATTATGATTATCATTGACCCAGACGTCAGCAACAACCCTCAAAATAACATAGGGAACCTTCACGCCGCCAACGCTCTCACCTTCAGCTCGTTCTACTGCGTTCCTAGCAGCTGCTGTCATGCTCACAGTTCCGCTCTAGGTATCAGCTGGGGAAGAGAAGGAAAAGAGTATTTACTCAACAGTTTAGGGTTGGTCGTAAGAAACAGGGTATCGCTTATCAAAAGTATGTTCTTTCACGCGTTTGTCTGTGTCAAATCCTCGTCGGCAACAGAAAAGAAACTGTAGCAATCTTCAGAATATAGCAATGGCATGTCCACTGACGCGTAATGTCTTGATTCGGTACCAGGTGATAAGCTGATTCGTTATTTTCTTGTTTTAACGCCAGTAGGTACATGGTGTACACTTGTGTACTTATACGAAATAGCAAGTGAATAACTCGCAAAACAATGTCACGAACATACCAAAACGTATGATAAACCACGTATCTTATATGTCAATACATACGTAGTTTCCTAACATGAATGTAGGTTTTAGATTTTATTCTGTATAGTGTGCATTTCTATTCTTTTGTAGTCCATTGTACTGAACCTAACCTTGCTGAAATAACATAACGGAATTTGTTAGACATTTTTCTTTGTGGATAAACCTGTTTAATTTACTCGAAGATATGAACGGGTTTATCATGAATTTACGTGTATATATTATATATTACAATGTATATACCATTTGGAGTCCGTAAAACGTTTGACTCACATGACTTTGCGATGCTTGTATTTCTGTACCAGGAGCATAGCATTAGGTAGCTTTGTATAGATTACACAACTTCACGCCTGACTAATATACACAGCTTACATACATACACATGTATGCCATTTAAAAACAAGAAAGAAAATACTGACATGCTGATCGAATCTGAATTCATTATGTAATATGTTGATGCACTTCTGAAGCGATTTTCAAAGCATAGAGTCATCTAGATTATATTTTTGCGTGTTACATGATTGATTTTAGGTTAAACATTACATGTTTCAAAAACATTTCATTTACAAAAATGTCAATCTAAATTGATAATTAAAAATACAAATTTTTTAAAAGAGCAAAGCATTTCCGAACTTGTGTTTTGGCCTAAACCAAGCACTCAATACACATGAGCTATTTTCTGTTAGAGTTACCTCCCCTATACGTGTCGTTGTGCGACAGGTTTCCATATTTTATTCAATTTCGAAGAAATACGACTATGTTGAGCATTACATGATTCTTGTTAGTTTTAATTGAAATAATTAATTACGTTTGCACGGAGTACACTTTTCAAGATGTATGCTGATACGGATTTGAATGTTTTGGCCATGCAAATATCTTGTCACGGGAGGAGCAATTTACAATGTACCCTTTTCACTCTCGCGAGAATAGGACATGATATACAGTTCTGTATCATGTTCTTTTGCTTACTGCCTTTCCTTGCTACAACATCGAGTAACTGAAGATTAAATCTTAAATTACAGAGAATCAAGCTACGTTTATATAACTCAATACTATATTTCGCTGCGGTTTCACTACTTGCTTCGAAATAATTTCTCCATGGAATACTGCTTCTGGTTTTTGTAGTATCATAAAATTAATAGCAACACATATGGAAAGGGAGGTCATTATGTCAAGTCTGATTAATTGAACTGTGTTATTAAACTTTTTTATAATTTGAGAAATGTCACGCATCACTTGTGTCGATTAATCACTATACCGTGCATATACAAAGAACAAGTCTGCAATTTATCTCCTTTTTGATCAATGATTATTTTAAATGTATAGATAACATATTGCTACTGCTATATAATCATCCATCGTCATACATGTAAATTACATACTTATAAATGTACATTTTGTTTACCAACTACTTTTTTTTAATTCGCACTACATTTGATAAATGGTCTATTTTGCAAAAGATATCTGTAAAAAGTAACCAGACCCCGTATCTACGTGTAATATACTTAAATTCATATCAGGATAAGATATTGTATCTTACCTACATGGTTAACGATGCTCATTCGATGTACGTAAATGTATATAGAAGATTCACAGATGACCGTAGCCGAATTCACTACAGTACATTGTGACCATCTGGTGCATTTTTGGTCTATAATCTGATTACCATCTCGTCACACTATTTTCGACCTTAGTGTACATAAGATTATAGTGTAGCCGAAAAAGCTGGTCGATTCCGTACCATCTCGTACACTACGTACATCAGTGCTTGTACGCTCCACACTGGTCATGTGTCAGATGAAGGTGACCGTGTAGTCATCGACACGTCACACTCTAGTCTTCTACTGGTTATGTCATAAGAAATTATATTCTATTGACACTACAAACCCGTAGAAAATGTTCCAAGACATCTAACCTTTAGGTTTGATCATGGATATATCATGTTATTTTCCTATTGGCTGAAAATGCTCAGTTGGATATAGACATATCGTTCAGTTTAATTTTAATTCAAAGTTATTAGAGTTAATTGAAGTTTTACTTTGTATTTCAGAACAACGGAAAATGTTAAAGATCTGTATACAAATGAAATTGGACTACAGCCAAAATCTGCAATCGCCCCCATTTAAGGAGGAAAAAAATTCTATAAAGCTACATTTCCATGAATCTAAATATCTTTATGTATGTAGCAACATTAGCATGATCTATGGTCATGGAAATAAGAAAATATTACGATTTTATCATTTATTATAATACAAATATTTAGTTTAATTATAAAGACTTCCATAAGGACAGTTCTCTATTCAAACTAACTGTGAAGGTCACCACACACAATGTGTATACGCAAGACTGTTGACGAGTAGACAAACACTTGTGTTGACGTATATACTAAACTTATCATCTATCGAAAGAGGAATAACTGTATGTTGGAATAGATAAAAGATTTCTACTCATCAGATCACGCCCCCCTTATTTCTAGGAAGGTCTTGAAGGTATTGTTTTTGCCGCTAAATTAGTTTCTGTGAGATAAATGGCAAATCTCAGAAGTATCTCTTTTTTCAATGCTTATCTAAACTGTTTTTAGAATATATTTATACAACAACTTCATCATCATCATACGTACATATTAATTGGCACTGTTTGGTCTATATATAAAAAGTTATCAATCAGAAGTAAATTGAGTCTGTTATATACTGTACACCGATGTTGATTCAAAATCTATAAATGTATACAGATTCACGTGTGACCGACATCACGTGTGACCGACATCTGGTCATTGTGTTTGACACTTAACATATCCTGTTATTTTACTATACTGCACAGAACAATATATACACATACTTCAGAATTGATCTAACTCTAGATGTAGATCCGAGTTCATGATGCATTCATGATAAAATAAAATTTTAAGGGAAATTTCGGGATCGTATATGAAAGAAAACATCAAGCATGCGATGGAATTTATTAAAAAAAACACGTTGATTATGTGACCATACACACCTATTTTGTTTTCTGTTCGGATGTAACAATTCAACTCTATATATCAAAAGTATTCTGTATAACATCAGGAGTTTAAAAGTCGACTTATTTTTGTTTTGTTATAGAAGATTGCTATTAATTCCATAACGCTTTTTTCTTGCATACATCATTTTATGCGAATGGATCAAACTGCAACTTTTTTTCCTTTCTAGAAGGACGAAAAACATTTCTATTAGTTCCGAGGTTTGCCCTATGCTGCACTCCAAGTTTTCATTCATGCATATGTACTTCACCTTCTTCTAAAATTCGCATATATATGAAATTCGGTTAATTATATTTAACGTTTAGGTCGTAAGCATCATTGACGTGTCTAAGGAGGACGAAACAGCTGCATGATGCAGCTTAATTCATTGTTAAGCTTTACTGCAGCTTGTCTAAATTTGTGTGAAAAAGTATTTTTCACTTGTGTGTCAGTTGAATGAAAGGATCTTCTTATATATTATGTTGAAAGAACATTTTGACAAGTTATAAAAACTTAAGCTATTCGGTGCTCTGATATTGAGTGTTTATGCCATTTTCCATTTGTCTATCATGCGTGTTGTTTAGGTCGTCAAACAGATCTTAACTGTTTGGAGATACAGACTAACGAGCATCAAACACATCCTCCTTCAAATCGCACAAAGTAGAGTATTTCTCAGTGCGATCACTATAACGAGCGTAAAACATCCTCATAATTTTTATCAACTTCCATATAATTTGAAACCCTGCGTTTCTCAGTTGATGTCATCTTAAAATTGGGATATCAACTTCAAAATCGGTTTAGCTACAGCTGGTAATTAACCGATAACAAACTTAAGAGTCTCCCTATACAGATTGGTATCCGCACAACGTTGAGCATGGTATTCGGACAAAAGACGATTCTGCATGGGCTAGTATTGGTATATATTTTTTCCGATGAAGTCATGTGGTTATCTGTATCAAACTTGGTTATGTGTGGAACGGCTTATGGATAATATTTACCCCAACACGTGTGTCCCCTGACAATGACGTGTATTAGTTTTTGTATTTGTGTATTTCATACTGTGGTGTTCGGACCCTGTGCATAGTTCAAGGTATTATTTCTGCTCAAAAGATATTATTATTGATCACCGCCTTGATGTGTTATTGCTCGTCAGTTCTCTACAAGTCCATACTGCTTCCAAAATGACAATGTCCTTGTGCATCAGGCACGTATTATAAAAGAATTCAAGCAAAACAATAGAATTCCTATTGCCAAGACTCATGATATTAAAGTTTTATGAATAAGAATTTACAATATGGATTCAAATGAATAATTATCTAACAGAAATGTTAGGCAAGCATTACCATCACTTAAATTATAGGGTTAAATAATAGTAAGATTAGATAGGTAATAAAATTATATATAACAAGATGTAGTCAAAGTTTGTCAGTTGATCACGGCTGCAGGTTCAAACTGTCCATATACCCACACTCCTGAGCCGAGTCCGTAAAAATTGACAGGCAGACCAAACGTAAGATAACAGATTCAAATTAAAAATAGAAAAAAATGTATATATAAGTAGAATAAGGCTAAAACAGGCGACCGGTATCAGTTATGAATCTCTGAACAAAATCAAGAATATATTTATTTATATTTGCATTAAGTGTATGAGATCCTTTAAGAAATGTATCAGTGGTAAGGGGTATAGAATCACTAAGAGTAGAAAGAGAATTAAGGAGGAGTTGTGTTTGGATAGTAAAGAACGGACAATGGATTAAAGAAGTGAGTAGGATCTTCAACTCGGTGGCCACAAGTACAGGCAGGGTTGTCTTTAAGGTGGGAATTAAATAAGTCAAAATTTAGATTACTTGCAGAGTTTCTTAGTTGACACAAGATTGTGTTTGCCTTTCTGTTACCGTAATATTTAAAAGTATCAGTGCATTGTAAAAGAGGATTGATAACAGGCTGTGACAAAAATGCTTTTCTTATTGTATAAATGGATGTCAATGAGGGAAACAGACAGGATGGGTCATTCCATTCAGTCATGAGTTTTGGGAAAAAACTAGTGCTATATTGACGAGTTCTTGCAAGGGACACATCAAACAACCTGTTGTGTCGAAGAGGATAATGAGCAGTATCATTGTTGATAAAAGGCTGAATAAAATTAGTTACATGAAGAGGGCATCTGTTTTTTAAAATGTTTTAAAAAATGGATATTTTGATGTAGGTGTCTTCGTTTAGCTAATGATATTAATCTAGACTCATTATAAAGGATAGCATGACTGGTGCCCCGTCTCAGACCAGTAATAATATGTATTGCCTCTAATTGAACTGATTCTAAGATGTTGCATTCCCTTTCTGTGCAGTTAGACCTAACAATATCAGCATATTCTAAAATAGGAAGAATAAATGTTATATTTATTAATTTAAGTGACTTTCTGTCAAATTTGTACTTAAACATTCTAAGAATATTTATTCGTTTATAAGCTTTCTCATACATAAAGCTTATGTGGTTGGACCAATTAGCATGAATGAGTTTTATTTGATATTTATACATACTAAAACACTAACATTCTCTTACGTAACTAATAAACAATTGTTCAGAATTAGGATAATGATGAATGAACAGATATCTTGATTGTAGGGCGTTTCCTGGTTGTCTGTATATTTCAGTGGATAAGCTTTTGTATGCTTTAACATTGTCTATTTGTCCATTATATTGAATACATGTGTAATGATATATATTATGAAACGAAAAAAAATGAATGATTCAATCCCACGGCGACTATTAACAGTATTAAATCAAAAGAACGCCTAAGCAAATAATAGACAAGTGGGTTTTATTAATGTTTCATCCCGGTTTTAGTTTTTTGAAGCAGGTCTGGTTCATTTCCGTCATTATGGAAAATTGTGAAAACTCTTGGCACAAAGGTTCAAATTGCGTTCGATTTTCCATTGAAAGTGATTTTAATAGGAGAAGAGCATGAAAAGCTCCTTCAATTAGAAAGTGGTTAAGACACTTGTTTGTGAAGTGATTTTGTTACCTGGATGTTCAGGCATAACCAAATATCGAAAAATACATGGTTTATGTATTACGGGTTCTTTGAATTCCATATACCATTTAATCCACGTCCACATTTTCTACAAATTATGAACGAGATTGTAAAATCACCATCAGTTTTTGGTATTCTAAAATATTTATCAGAAACGCATGCATATTTCAATAGCATTTCCTTTGTTGTCGAATGTTT